GTACCACTGTCGTTTTTTTTTTTGGTCGAAATTTTGAGTTTCTCTGATCTTCTTGAAACTCTGGATTCTGATAGAGGGCCATGAGACTTACACCTGAGTGCAAAAATGGAGGCTCTAGACCCTTCCAGAGCTGAGATATGTTAAAGGATGTATAGGCCAAACCAGGTGTTATCAGAATCCGATATTGACATGGATCCATCACAACATGTCTTCATATTAGGGACTGAAGTGAGTGTTGGCAGTCAGGTGCTGGAGTAGTGGAGGAACGGATGAGAAGAGGACACAATCAGCGCCAACACGCACTCATCCACATAAACACTAATGGGCTTATTCACACAGCACTGATCTGGCACTGCACTACTGTGTACTAGACCAGACAGCAGTGCACACCACACACTCACACACACACACCACAGTCAGTGTGTGAATCTCAACAAACCAGATCCTGGTCACACTTCACCCCAAAATATAAAGCAGGAAATATAAAGACTTAGACCTGAGTGCAAAAATGGAGGCTCTAGATCCTTCCAGAGCTGAGACATTGAGATATTTATAATGGCATAAATGCTACATGGGATCTCAATATCTCTGCTCTGGAAGGGTCTAGAGCCTCCATTTTTGCACTCAAGTCTAAGTCGCATGGCCCTCTATCAGAATCCATCGTTTTGAGAAGATTGGAGAAACTTAATTTTTCACCCCGAAAAAAAACGAAAGGGGTACCACTGTCGTTTTTTTTTTTGGTCGAAATTTTGAGTTTCTCTGATCTTCTTGAAACTCTGGATTCTGATAGAGGGCCATGGGACTTAGACCTGAGTGCAAAAATGGAGACTCTAGACCCTTCCAGAGCTGAGACATTGAGATATTTATAATGGCAAAAATGCTACGCGGGATCTCAATATCTCACCTCTGGAAGGGTCTAGATCCTCCATTTTTGCACTGAAGTCTAAGACTGATGGGCCTTTATCAGAATCCAGAATTTTGAGAAGATTGGAGAAACTTAATTTCTCACCCTGAAAAAAAAACGAAAGGGGTACCACTGTCGTTTTTTTTTTTTGGGTTGAATTTTTGAGTTTTGATATCTCAGCTCTGGAAGGGTCTAGAGCCTCCATTTTTGCACTCAGGTTTAAGTCTCATGGTCCTCTGTCAGAATCCAGAGTTTTGAGAAGATTGGAGAAACTTCATTTTTCACCCGAAAAAAAAAAAAAACGAAAGGGGTACCACTGTCGTTTTTTTGGGGGGGTCGAATTTTTGAGTTTCGATATCTTAGCTCTGGAAGGGTCTAGAGCCTCCATTTTTGCACTAAGGTTTAAGTCTCATGGCCCTCTATCAGAATCCAGAGTTTTGAGAAGATTGGAAAAACTTAATTTTTCACCCGAAAAAAAAAAACGAAAGGGCTACCACTGTCGTTTTTTTTGGGGGGGTCGAATTTTTGAGTTTCGATATCTCAGCTCTGGAAGGGTCTAGAGCCTCCATTTTTGCACTCAGGTGTAAGTCTCATGGCCCTCTATCAGAATCCAGAGTTTTGAGAAGATTGGAGAAACTTATTTTTCGCCCAAAAAAAAAAAAACTTAAGGGGTACCACTGTCTTTTTTTTTTTGGGCCGAATTTTTGAGTTTCGATATCTCAGCTCTGGAAGGGGCTACAGCCTCCATTTTTGCACTCAGGTCTAAGTCTCATGGCCCTCTATCAGAATCCAGAGTTTTGAGAAGATTGGAGAAACTTAATTTTTCGCCCAAAAAAAAAAACGTAAGGGGTACCACTGTCGTTTTTTTTTCGGGCCGAATTTTTGAGTTTCGATATCTCAGCTCTGGAAGGGTCTAGAGCCTCCATTTTTGCACACAGGTGTAAGTCTCATGGCCCTCTATCAGAATCCAGAGTTTTGAGAAGATTGGAGAAACTTAATTTTTCGCCCAAAAAAAAAAACGAAAGGGGTACCACTGTCATTTTTTTTTCGGGCCGAATTTTTGAGTTTCCATATCTCAGCTCTGGAAGGGTCTAGAGCCTCCATTTTTGCACTCAGGTCTAAGTCTCATGGCCCTCTATCAGAATCCAGAGTTTTAAGAAAATTGGAGAAACGTAATTTTTCGCCCCCAAAAAAAAAACGTAAGGGGTACCACTGTCGTTTTTTTTTTTCGGGCCGAATTTTTGAGTTTCGATATCTCAGCTCTGGAAGGGGCTAGAGCCTCCATTTTTGCACTCAGGTCTAAGTCTCATGGCCCTCTATCAGAATCCAGAGTTTTCAGAAGATTGGAGAAACTTAATTTTTCGCCCAAAAAAAAAAAAACGAAAGGGTACCACTGTCGTTTTTTTTCGGGCCGAATTTTTGAGTTTCGATATCTCAGCTCTGGAAGGGGCTAGAGCCTCCATTTTTGCACTCAGGTCTAAGTCTCATGGCCCTCTATCAGAATCCAGAGTTTTGAGAAGATTGGAGAAACTTAATTTTTCGCTCAAAAAAAAAAAAACGTAAGGGGTACCACTGTCGTTTTTTTTTCGGGCCGAATTTTTGAGTTTCGATATCTCAGCTCTGGAAGGGTCTAGAGCCTCCATTTTTGCACTCAGGTGTAAGTCTCATGGCCCTCTATCAGAATCCAGAGTTTTGAGAAGATTGGAGAAACTTAATTTTTCACCCAAAAAAAAAAACGTAAGGGGTACCACTGTCGTTTTTTTTTTCGGGTCGAATTTTTGAGTTTCGATATCTCAGCTCTGGAAGGGTCTAGAGCCTCCATTTTTGCACTCAGGTGTAAGTCTCATGGCCCTCTATCAGAATCCAGAGTTTTGAGAAGATTGGAGAAACTTAATTTTTCACCAAAAAAAAAAAACGTAAGGGGTACCACTGTCGTTTTTTTTGGGGGGCGAATTTTTGAGTTTCGATATCTCAGCTCTGGAAGGGGCTAGAGCCTCCATTGTTGCACTCAGGTCTAAGTCTCATGGCCCTCTATCAGAATCCAGAGTTTTGAGAAGATTGGAGAAACTTAATTTTTCGCCCAAAAAAAAAAACGAAAGGGGTACCACTGTCGTTTTTTTTTCGGCCGAATTTTGAGTTTCGATATCTCAGCTCTGGAAGGGGCTAGAGCCTCCATTTTTGCACTCAGTTCTAAGTCTCATGGTCCTCTATCAGAATCCAGAGTTTTGAGAAGATTGGAGAAACTTAATTTTTCTCCCTAAAAAAAAAAACGTAAGGGGTACCACTGTCGTTTTTTTTTTGGGCCGAATTTTTGAGTTTCGATATCTCAGCTCTGGAAGGGGCTAGAGCCTCCATTTTTGCACTCAGGTCTAAGTCTCATGGCCCTCTATCAGAATCCAGAGTTTTGAGAAGATTGGAGAAACTTAATTTTTCACCCAAAAAAAAAAACGAAAGGGGTACCACTGTCGTTTTTTTTTCGGGCCGAATTTTTGAGTTTCGATATCTCAGGTCTGGAAGGGTCTAGAGCCCCCATTTTTGCACTCAGGTCTAAGTCTCATGGCCCTCTATCAGAATCCAGAGTTTTGAGAAGATTGGAGAAACTTAATTTTTCACCCAAAAAAAAAACGTAAGGGGTACCACTGTCGTTTTTTTTTCGGGCCGAATTTTTGAGTTTCGATATCTCAGCTCTGGAAGGGGCTACAGCCTCCATTTTTGCACTCACGTCTAAGTCTCATGGCCCTCTATCAGAATCCAGGTTTTGAGAAGATTGGAGAAACTTAATTTTTCGCCCAAAAAAAAAAAAAACGAAAGGGGTACGTACCACTGTCGGTTTTTTTTCGGGCCGAATTTTTGAGTTTCGATATCTCAGCTCTGGAAGGGTCTAGAGCCTCCATTTTTGCACTCAGGTCTAAGTCTCATGGCCCTCTATCAGAATCCAGAGTTTTGAGAAGATTGGAGAAACTTAATTTTTCGCCCGAAAAAAAAAAAACGTAAGGGGTACCACTGTCGGTTTTTTTTCGGGCCGAATTTTTGAGTTTCGATATCTCAGCTCTGGAAGGGGCTACAGCCTCCATTTTTGCACTCACGTCTAAGTCTCATGGCCCTCTATCAGAATCCAGGTTTTGAGAAGATTGGAGAAACTTAATTTTTTGCCCAAAAAAAAAAAACGAAAGGGGTACGTACCACTGTCGTTTTTTTTTCGGGCCGAATTTTTGAGTTTCGATATCTCAGCTCTGGAAGGGTCTAGAGCCTCCATTTTTGCACTCAGGTCTACACTGCAAAAACTCCTCATCTAGCCAAGATTTGCAATCTTATATCCAGCCGTTAAATTTTATTGATCTTGTTTTGAGAATAAAACACTATGTAAGATCAGATTGTGTAAGATTATTCAGATGGTTTTAAGATTATTAATCTATTTATTCTTACTTGGTTAGTAAATCTTAAAGGTAGTTAGTTTACCTATAAATCAAGCTAAATTAATGTTAGAGACATCGTTTTAGGTCAGCAGTGTGTCTTAAAATACTTTTTTTTAGCTTTAAGAACTTATTTTAAGGTTACCTAGTAAAAAAAATTCTCAATCACACTCGGGATTTGTTAATTAACATTATTTATTACAAATACTGGTTTTATGCAACATCAACACATTTACAACCCAGTAAAAAATCAACATCAAGTCAACACACTCCTCCATTCAAATCTCATTCAGTATGTTTAATTAGCCAGTTTTAAGAGCAATAACATCATCAAGGTTATATTTTGTCAAAACATATGCACTGTTTTTGAAATTGATTAGATAATAAGATGTATGATCGATTAGCTTTTCAGCATCTGTAAACTCTGTTGCCTGGGCTAGATTAGGTACAGAAACTTCATACGCTAGTAGATCTTTTTCAGACCCAGAGTCTCATAAAGCTGATATTCAAAACAATATAGTAAAGAGTTTACAACATAAATGTTCTTTATAAGTCCAAAGACAGGCAATTTACCATTTGCACTTATGATTATCAGAGACTTTTCTCTGATGTACTTGTTACCATTAAGAATTAGCCACTTCACTGCAACTGCATGTTGAATGCCATCAATTCCCAAAAATCTCTAATCTTTGCTGTAATGTACTCCATATTTGTCACTTCTGAAACAGGTCCCAATTCCTTCTCATGTACAAAAATAGGATGCTCAGTACCAAGTTCATTTTGACAACTTTCAAAAAGTTGATTACGGTTTGCAAGCGACTTGCAGACATTTTTGAAGTTCAATTTCGATGACCACTGCTTGAAAAAAGAGTGTTTTGACTCAAACCTCATACACATATGCCTTATTAAAGGGCCTAGAGAAAGAATTTGAGCAGGGAGATGTAGCATGTAATGTTGCTTAGGAATTACATTATTCTCAGGAAAAAGTTGCTTAAACTTTATCAAATGGAGTTCAATCATTGTTTTCAGTCGTAATACACTTTGGACAGATAAAATAGGAGCAAAAATGATTTGAACTATCTCAATTAAGTCCAAAACAAACTGAACATATTCATTCTTTTCAATACCGTTTAACAGAAACGGCATGATCTTCAACAATACCAGCATTTGACCAGACGTCTGTTTGAGTTTGTGATCATTAGATGCCAAAGTATTGACACTGATTGGACATGGTTTGTCCCGTATGTCTATTGATGAATAAGGAAAGCTCTGCATGGCTGAATTGAACATGTCCAACTCCATCTGTCCAGAAAGAACAAGGTACTTCAACACACATTTCATTTCCATGGGTGCAACACCCTCAAGAATGATGTGCATTATATCCTGTGGAGTTTGCTCAATAAGGTCAAAGGCTGGATAATCAATCAACTGACTTCTTCTGTTAATTCCATAGGTGGTTTTTAGAGCTGATTTCAAGAATTCTGTGGTAGCCCTTTCTATTTCAAGGCACTGTCTAAGGTGTTTTTCCAGTGTCCTTTTGGTGAAACTTTGTTCGTCGAAATTCCTTTGCATTTCCTCAAAGGTACATTCGCAATGCCTACACTTACTGTAGGCAAAACCAACACCTTCCTTGAAACCAGCGAGCTCGTGTTGTGCAAGTGTGTCACCACATACTGCGACTACAGCACCACATAAATCCATTTCCCCATTCTGTGTTTGGATTTTGACACCATTATAAAGCAGCTGCAAGTCTTCAGTAATTCTTTGCAAAACAACATCAACACCACAGTCATCAATATCCTTAGCGTTTGCTATAGCAAGGAGTCGGATTGCAGCAAGCTTTGACCTAAACTTGGGGTCTATATTTCCTAAAGTATAATAAACCATCAGTAATTTATGTACAGAAGCGTGTGACCCCAGGGGATTGCATATCTCAATTTCATCAGTGTACAAAATCAACTGCAAAGCAGAAGGTTTTACTGAAAACAGTGGGTGGGATTTGAAAAGACTCCCATCATTAATATCATAAAAAAAATCATCTTTGTCGCAGCTCTGTGGTGTGGTGCTGATCATATCTAAAATTCTGGAATTGGACAAGAACTGTTCAAGACTCTTAATTAAGGAATATAGTAAAAACTCTTGTTTCTGATCGCAAGAACCCTTGATGGTCCTTTCTTAACCCTACAAACCCTTTGAGATATAACTACCTCCTCTGGTTTAACTGGGTTAAAAAGCTCCTGAATGGTGCTGTCCTGCATGTATGTGGTGGCCATACTGGAGAAAGGATCCTGAAATGTATCAAATGTTGCCAGTGCCTCCTCTTGGAGCTGCTCCACACTGTCCGAATGTCTTTCGAAGATCCTCTTCATTCTGTCCTTCAGTGTATTCAGAAGAGAAGTTTGATACTGCTGGACTCCAGAGACAATGCTGTTGATGTTCCTCTGAAACAAAAAAACTCAATGTCACAAATCCATATGGTGTTTATTGTTGTAAAGATGACATTATAGATTAGGTACAAAAATGAAATAATTAAAGCTTATTATCCCCAGTAAATACTGAAAGATGATAAACAATTATAGCCTTAATAGCATGCATTCTGTACACACACATACATAAGTTTGTACATTTTTGCATTTCTAAACTATTTTGCTGTGATTGCATAGATTGTCCACACAGATTGCACCTTTAAAAATGTATTTATGTAAATTTATTACTAAAAATTAATATAAAAATTTTATTAATTTTGATGCATTGGAAGGGGTGTTCAAGTGAAACAAGCCTCTAGACTTGTTTTTTCCCACTGGTCGCACTGGTGCAGCTAACTTTCTCAGTTGGTTGCACTGACTTATTATTTGGTCACAACCTTAAATAATAATAATAATTATAATGACCTTGCATATTGATGCATCATCCTTTTAATTTGCATGCTGGTTTTACATTAATGTAAAGGTTAAAAGAAAACAAATTAATTGGAATCATGACCCATAATTCCAATCAAGTTTATAGTATATAGTAGTATTTTGTGGCCCATTGAAATATGTCCCCCTTTAAATTCCATTTTATTTTTTACTGTATTCCATTTTAACGGTTTAATACTATTTTTAATATTTAAAAAACATGTCAAATTAATTGAATTAATTAAAAAATATATAATGCATAAAATAAAATAAAAAAAAAATTGTTATTATTATTATTATTTTTTTTTAGAAATGCTGTGTGGTATAGGCTATAAAAACATTTTCTGGTAAACAAAAATGAAGGCATAACACATTAATTTACGTAAATTAAATTAAAAAAAGTTACGTAAAGTTATTCTGAAATTTTATTTTGACAGGTTGCTGTGAAGACCTGTGAGATGTGTTCATGATATGAGGATAGTTTAACTGAAATGAAACGGTTAAATGCTTATAAAGTGACTCTTAGAGCGGATCTGGAGATGAAGTTCATCCATTCATGTCCTCGAAAAGGCTGAAAACACAGCAAGCGTCTGTGGAAAATGAAACTGTGTCTGCGCCATTCATTCACACAGAGACATGCAGAATATGCAGGATTCAGAAGTCTTTTTACAGATAATTATATATACACTAGTCTATAGACTAGGGTTGGGCGATGTCTACCAATTTGGCATCAGACAATGTCAACAGTGAAACATAGATATCGGGAGGAAGGTAACATTTTCATTTTCGCAATATTCTCATTTTCGTCTAGATCTCATCAGCAATTTTGATATCGGCAGCTCTGCACCAGCAAATTTCATGTATTTCGGGAGAAACTGATGAATTCATGTGCTGTAATAATAACTTAAATCCAACAGACAGGAATCTCTTAACTGCAGCCCGAAATGTCAGCTAAGCATCGCAACGCATTCTCACCCCAAGGCGTCACCTTTGACCATGCTTCAATATTTGACGCTTAAGGCGCCCTTTAGCGTCAGTTACATGACGCGATCCTACGGCGTCATCTAACTGACACTAAAGGAAAGCGATAATACTAACCTTCAGTACATTTTTTCGTGGTTTATAGAGGGTTTTGACGACACATCAATCCGGAAGTCGGCCATTTTGGAGGCACAGAACACAAACAATGCCATTGAACTGAACGGACTCGCAAATTTGGCTGATTATTTCTGCTGAAAAATGGTCGAGTTTTGGTCTGTACTAATCGTTCGCATCGGGAAAATACCTTTTGAGTTCTATAGACTGCCAAAAGTTAAAGAGAAGAGTGAAAAAAACTGATGAAAGAAGGCATTTGTGGTTCAGAGAGTCACAGCATCAGCTCATAAGTAAATGAAGCTTTGACTATGGCTAAAATGTTGACGTATTAACTATGGCTACATTCACACTGTCAGTCCAAATCCGATTATCTTTGTATCTGATTGGAATCTGATCTAAAATGATGTCCACACTGTTTATCGCAACTGTTGATGTCATGCAGCTCTCGGGCAATACAGCACTGACATTGACACTGATGGAGCGGTTTGCATTTTCAATAGAGATGTTTTCTTATTTAATTTTTACAACATGGATATGTATTAGGGGTGTCCATGGTTAACCGGTTAACCGATTAACCGTTTAAAATTTCATAACCGAGTGAAACCTTTTTGCTCGGTTAAGTGGCGTCAATACATATTTGAACAAAACTTTTGCGATTTTTTTTTCTGATTGTCGATAAAAAAATATTGCGAAATGACAGCGTTTCTATTAACGGTGTTATGCGACTAAAACATTTTTTTTTCCTTTGCCATCATTCCAAAAATGATGGCAACGGACGTTGGTATATCACAGCCACTGCACTAGACATTATTATTATTTATGGAAGGAGACGTGGTGTGTCATCCAAGCATTAATGGCAGGGAAAGTCACAGAGTTTCTGTGTGTTTGTCCCTCATTTCTGCTCCGCAGTCTTGATTGTGGCATTTCTTTGAGGTTTTGTCTAGTAGGCTATTCCTTGTATCTTTTATGAATTTTAAAAAAGAACTCTGCCTCGTATTTTGTCCAAACGGTCTACTTTTGTGTTCATTCGTTTCCCCTTATTTAATCCGTTGGCCTAATTGCAAAATGAAAAATGAACGGTTGTTGTATTTTGTAAATAGCAAAGTTGAACACCAAAATGTTCATTTGAACTGTAGGCTTATACACCAAATGCTGCGCAAAAATATATAGGCTAGCTATAGGCTACATATCGACGAATTTGCCCCTTAAACATTTAAAATATTTGACAAATTAATATGAAAAAAAGATTTTACTGGTTTTCTGAGGCCAAATTAGAACCTGGAAATGATTTCCCCCGCAATGCTGAATGAGAAGAGCCGTAACCACAGCCTGCAGAAATGGGATTTATAAGTGATTTATATAGGCTATAATAAATGTGTCTGATAATAAAATAATATAAAATGACGAGGCATTAATTATTTAATAATAAACTATTGTTTTCTAAATCATTTTCGGCTATTTAAAGCTTTAGCCTACAAAGGATATAACCCCTGTAGACTAAAGCTTTACATGTCCAATTTAAAACGAACAAATCCGAATGCGGTGGTTGTTTCAGTTCTCGCGCTTCAGTTCGCGGAGATCATGAAGCGCGCCTGAATGTTAAAGCACAACCTTTTCTTGTTATTGTGAGTTTACGCAAATAAATGTATTTGCGAATAATGCATTATTATTTTCTGTATGACCAGAAATGAAAGAGTATTTTAAGTTGTTTCCACTGAAAGAACTGCAAGTGTTCACATGGGCGTCTTGCAGCCATCAATGCGCGCTTCACACACACTGGATATGCGTCAAAAATATTGTGTTTATTTGTGCTTTGTTCCTTTTTTTGGATAAAGGCGTCTTCTACATAATATGCAGCCTAATAAAATGTTACAATAATGATGATTATTGTTATTATTTGCGGACACTGAGTTAATGTGCTTATTTTCAATTGGCAATTTCATTTTGAAGGGTGATGGAAACGCACTTACTTTAACTGCTCTGTACTTACCACTGCGTTTTATTTCTATAAATTAATTTCGTTTCAAATGGGGTCCAACAGTTATTAAAAAGGTGTTAAAAATTAACTCTGTATCTCGAGGTTGCGGCGCGCACATGGTTAACCGAGTATTAACCGATAAGGGCCTCGGTTAACGGTTAATGAAAAACTTGAAAACGTGCAGCCCTAATATGCATGTAGCCACCGCCGCACTGGACTATAATGCCTATTGAGCTGGAGAACTGTAGGAGGCTGTTATGAAACGTTAGAGCTTTTTTTCCCGCTCGTCTGCGCCCGTTTCAATATATGTTTCAGAAATAACACTTTTCTGCTCGTCCGGCACTTTGCAACAACACAGGATTGTTTCGGCAGCGACTTGCAGCATGTCTCCTCAAACAACCAATGACGTTTACATTTTATGTGGTGTGAGAGTCGCATACCACCCAAAATCCGATCGTTCAGACTGAGGCATATGTCCTGGTATTTGAATAGGATTTCAAACCACATATGGATGTTGCTTGAAACAGATTTCATGTGCTTTTTGGACTGATGTCGGAATAAGAAATAGAAGGAAGAATTGCAGCAGGGGCAAGAGAAGCTAGCTCGTTCGGACCTTTACCACATATTAACTTTAGTTTGTCAAAATATTGCGCTCTCTCCTGCTTGATAAGTCCTTCTCTATGATTTTGCACGTACCACATTTTTTATTCTGTGTTTTTTTTTAGTCTAACAATGTGTTCAGTAGTACATAAACAGTGCAGTCCATGCTGTTGTTTACATCTGAGTGCCTCCATAATGGCCGCTCATCCGGGTTACCGCCCAAAATGTGACGTCTGTGAAAACTCTCTATAGTGAAACCGGTAATCGTCCCATCCCTATTTGTAACTGTAGGCCCATTTATTCATCTTTGCTAATGTTAGTTTCATTGTTTGTTCATTTAGTTCACAGTAAATTAATGTTAACAAATGCAACCTTTGATTTTAATAGTAAATGTTAAAAATTTATATTAACTAAGATTAATAAATGATGTAGAAGTATTGTTTATTCTTAGTATGTTAACTAAAGTAGTTAACTAATGAACCATATTGTAAAGTGTTACCTATTTGTATTTAAAGTTATTTTAAAGGCTGTTGTTCACTTGGATCTATTTTCATTATTACTATTTTTTATCCAATTACTCGATTAATCAATGGAATAATCAGTAGAATGGGCTATATGCACGCATAAGTTCCGCATTTGACGCAAGGATGCTCGTCCATTTCCGGTTGTGGAGATTAAAGCGGAGGAAAACCGAGGAAAACAGGATTATGGCAGAGTCTTCAAAATTTACTGTCCTCCCGTCTTTGAAACTAAACGTACATATGTTTCGATGTAATTTTATATATAGTTAGGTTTATTTAATATAATTTTAAAAAGAAGCATAAACACAACGTGGGGTGTCTGTTTTATCTGTTTTTGTGACTAATGTTTCTTTAGTATAACCATGGAGTATAAAATTCAATATAAATTCTCGGTATTGCATTGGACTCAACGATCGGCGGAAGTTATCGAGCATCCCTAATGCTTCACCGGAAATACCGCCGTGCATAGAGACCATACTCGATTACTAAAATAATCAATAGCCACAGCCCTAGTCTAGAGCCCTGCAATACTGCCCTACAAAGGCAAAGCGCAGTAACTACACATTTGGTCAAAAATGAGTTAAGACTTAGCCTGGGTTTGCCCATTCTGCTTTGCCGCAGCGCAATTTTATTTGCGTTGCTAGGCAGTCTCTGGACACCATGGGAACCAATCACAAAACGGGGAGGGAGCACAGGCGCATTTGATAGATATTCGTAGCACCCAATAATACACTATGGGCATTCGTAAACCACGCCTCAAATACGAGAAAATTAACGTGGTTTCCAAACCACGTTTCATTCTCAATGATACGTGGTCCGGCGTTAGCCAGGCTAGTTAAGACTTGTAATGGGCTTTATGACATGTGTTCTGTCTTGTGAAAAAAATACCTGGGTTAAATTAAGTCCCGTTTCGGAGATGCATTACCACATAATCTACCCATAACATGTTTGACTGGCTGGTATAAAAACTTTAAAGGCCTTTTTCTCCGCTTCTTTGTTTGCGTAGTTACTGCACTTATCCTTTGTAGGGCAGAATAGTTAACCCAAAATTAGAAATCTAATTATTATTCACTCTCATGTGGTTCCAAACCTGTATTACTTGTAGGACACAAAATATATAATATTTTATGTTGGTAACCAAACAGTTTGAGTCTTTTTTCTATACTATGAAAGTAAATGAAAATCGTAGTTTGTGTTCTGCTCTGCAGATGAAAGTCAGTCATATAGGTCTAGAAAATATTGATAGATTTTTTTTCATTTGTAAGTGGCCTATCCCTATAAATGAGTTCACTTAAAAAAAAAAAAATTAAAAAAAAAACTTTTGCTGATAATTTACTCACCCCCATGTCATCCAAGATGTCCATGTCTTTCTTTCTTCAGTCAAAAAGAAATTAAGGTTTTTGAAGAAAACATTCAAGGATTTTCTCCATATAATGGACTTCAATGGGGTCCAAACGGTTCAAGGTCCAAAAGACAGTTTCAGTGCAAACTGCAATCTGTTCAGAGGGCTGTAAACGATTCCAGAAGATGAATAAGGGTCTTCTCTAGCGAAACAATCGCTCATTAAAAAAAAAAGTTGAAGTTTTATAAGCTCAAATGCTTGCCGTACTCTGTTCTTGAACTTAACTTAAACTTTGTTTTTTGGTTTTTTTTAAATGAGCAATCGTTTTGCTTGATAAGACCCTTATTCATTGTCAAGTGTTGTTTAAAGCCCTTTGACAGTTTGCACTGAAACTCTCATTTGGACCTTGAACTGTTTTGTTCCCATTGAAGTCCATTATGGAGAAAAATCCTGGAATGTTTTCATCAAAAACCTTAATTTATTTTTAACTGATGAAAGAATGACAGGAGTAAATTAGCAGCAAAAGTTTTTTTTTTTTTTTTATGTGAACTACTCCTTTAAAATACAATAAAAAAAGTAACATAACATTAATGACATGGAGTGGAATACCTGTGACAGGTGGCATTTTCCCCGGATATTAACGGTAAATGCAGCTGCACGTCTAGTAAGATTTTCACTTGTAGTGGCAACATTGAATGTAGTTCCTTCCTGTGGAGGTAAATACACAGTAAGAGGCTAGTTACAAAATGTTCTATAGCCATCTAACACTATCATGGAAGCAGTGGCGTTACTTTGCTTTAAAAAGTGGGTAGGACGGGGGGTGGCTATTATAATGCTAAATCATAAATCAGATGTACCCCTGTACAATAACATACCGACGTCCAGCAATCGATTTATTGTGTTTAATGAGATCTAATATAGGTTGGTGGCGATATTTTCACGTGATGGCACATAGATGCGAAAGTTATATGCATGCACTTTATCGTCCAATGGCAGAACTTTTGGCAAGCGTGTCAGAGGTTCTAGGTTCTATCCGCACTCATATAGCTAGTTTTTTTACACTCTCTCCGCGCCATGAGCACTTTGATCACTTTTAAATAACAACACAAGCATCCAACATTACATCATACCTGATGATCAGGACGTTGAGGGCAAACTTCAAGAAGTTCCTGCTGTGAAATCTCAGGGGTGTCCGGTGTGTTGTCTTCACTGCTGGTACTTTGCATCACATTTGTTTGTGTAGTACAGTCCAAAAAAATTGGTATATCAAAATGTTCACCTCCAACTCTTGATTGCTCAGATGTAGATGTCATCCATCCAGGGTTTGGGCGCCCAGTCGTAAGATACAAAGCATGTGTTCGTCTGATATGATAGTAGAATGAATTGAATACTCTGTATTCTTCGGTACATCCATCAATTCCGCATATAACACGGAAATCTGCATTGCGACTATGTGCTGTGTTAATATGGCTTAATAGAGACTTCAACGTTAAAGCAACAAAAACGAAGCAAATCACACATCTCCAACAGGCCATGGTTGAAAAAGTGAAAGAAACAGTCCAACAATCAGTCACACCGTCACCCTCACAGAAAACCGGAATCGAAATGTGATATTCTGGTGGGCTATGATTGATTTGCGCGCTTTTGTTCGGTAATTACCATATAAGGAATCGGGAGGGGGAGACTTACAAAGTAATGCAATTCAAATTTTATGAAACGGGTTTAACAATTAACAACTATACTTTATAGTTCAAACATACACAAATAATGTATTTATACAGCAGTATATGCCGTTCCTAATACGGTAAAGTCACTTAACAAATGACCAAGTACGCATTACGTTACTTCATACTTCCCCCTCATGTGGTATCTTCTGTCAGTTTGCTTGTAAGAGTACAGCGAACAGGCATTGGTTTCTGCTGAGGTGAGGTATATTTTTCATTACAAAGTATTTTAAACTATAGACAAACATATTTTTTCTTGAAAATAATATTTTACAGTGATTGTTAAAGCTGCAGCCTGGTCCCAGCAATAATTTGGTTTCGTTAGCCAGTCTCACTCATGCTGCACTCATCGTGCATCGAGTTTTTCTTATGGCCCAATTTTAAATAGTCAGACGCTAACTTAGATGCTCACTTACTTCGGTTTTTTATCTTTTGTTTGTGATAAACACAAAATTTAGTGTTAAGGAAACATCAGCTGACGTTTGAAAAATCCGGGAGAACAAAGGTAAGAATTTTTTTAATAAATCTCATTTGCACGTGGCTTATTTTAGCGCAGTAACGTTAGCTGCTATGAATGACAGCTTCAGTCATTATAACGTAAGAGATCATGATACTTGTTAAATGTTTTTTGATATGCTCGACTTCTGTGTAACGTTACACTTAAAAATTACTAAGACAGAACGACAAACAGACATGCATATATATACAGATAAATCCATATAGTATATACCACAAAACTATATCCAGTAATTTTAACACACACATTCCAGATCTCATGGATGGTTTTGATTTTTTTTTTCAGCTTTGAAAATGTGATTTGTTATGATGAATACAACACTGCATGACATAGGCATATTGTCTGGAATTAAAGGGATAGTTCACTTTGAAATTAATTTTTGATATGTTTTAGCATACCTCAAGGGCATCCAAGGTGTAGATGTCTTTGTTTCCACAGTATTTTCAATTTTGACATTTTTCGGTCAAACCATTGTTGTCTGTGAGTCATATAATGCAGGTTTAGGGTCCACGTCAAAGAGCATGCACAGAGAAGTCCAAATTAAACATGATTTAATGACTCGTTAATGTAAGTACACATTGATGGCCTAAGACACGAAACGAGCGGTTTGTGTGAGAAAACGAACAGTATTTATATTGTTTTTACCTCGTGTAACAACAGCCATGTACAGCTGATCTGCATCAGTTGTGCAATGGCCAAATGATCTGAATCAGACGGGCTCTGACCGAACTGAACCATGTTCAACGTTCCGCCGGAAGTGATCGCTTGCGGTTTACATAACTCATTGTTTACAATGAAGTTTTACCTTTCATTGTCACTAAATATGTTTAGATCTTCACAGTGAAAAGTAAAACTTCTGAAATCTCTGTGTAAACAATGAGTGACGTACACGCGCAAGCGGTCACTTCCGGTGGAGCGTTGGACATGGTTCAGTTCGGTCAGAGCCCGTCTGGTTCGGTTCAGTTGGAAATGGCTGTGGTTACAAGAGGTAAAAACGATATAAATACTGTTCGTTTTCTCACACAAACTGCTCGTTTCGTGTCTTAGGCCATCAATGTGTACTTACATTTACAAGTCATTAAATCATGTTTAATTTGGACTTCTCTGTGCATGCTCTTTGAGGTGGTGACCATAGACCTGCATTATATGACAGACAGACAAGAACGGTTTGACCTAAAAATGTCAAAATTGAAAATACTTTGGAAACAAAGCCACAGTCTACATCGGATGCCCTTGAGGTAAGCTAAAACATATCAAAAATTTATTTCAAGTGAACTATCCCTTGAAATCTGATTTTGACAATTTTTCAGAAATAATCTACAACATTGTTCTGTATAAACCAAAGATATAACTTTATTTTAACCTTTAGTAACAATAACAAACATTATTATGTGATATTTTTTCCTGCCTGCCAGGTAAAGGAAATACAAGAAAGGTACAATAATGGATGAACTGGACGATGTTTCAGTATCGACTCTGAAGGGTAAGTCATGTTTAGGTGTTATAAAGCTACATATTAAATTAACATTAAGTTAAAAAAAATAATAATAATAACTTTTTGAGATCATTGTCCATATGATAAATAAGCTGATCATTTATATTAATTTAATTTAAATGTTTAGCTTATTGTACTGATAGTGATCTCAAAAATAGGTTTTACAGCTTTACAGTCAAGAGTATAAAGTGACAAGACACAAAGCTTGACCTTTCAATTTATAACATGAAATGGGTAAAAAAAAATATATGTGATGCGATCTGTCGGATGTCGCGCTGGTACATTTTCAGTAAGGTCTAAAAACAGATTGAATGTCAGTTTTTTTTTTTTTTTTTTCAAAATTGGGTTTTCAATAAATTGTTATTCTATAACATCTTGTTTATCATGTATGAATATATCTTGGGAAAATTCACTAATTTAGTACAGAAAAATTGAGATTTTATACTGGCAAGCTGAAAACGTCTTTCTCTTTAAGAACTTGTATGGCGCAGAAAAACAACAAAATCACCCATTTAGCGAGTCCTTTGTAAACTACAATGGCACACAAGTTTTTATTTATCGTTTTTATCCAGCATTATATTGTGGGGTTGTGATGCAGAGCACAAGAGAACTGTTTTTCTCAAAATTCTGTTTCTGAAAATCACTGCGATCAGCCGACTTCAGATAACTACAACTTTTGTTACAGAAAAACAATAAAATAAATAAAAACAGATTTGGAAAGGACCCGAACCCAGCTTTAATATGGTCTCAAAACCTGTAATATGTCAAATTTTACCATGTGGCAGATCGCATCACCCATATCCCCTTTTCCACTAAAAAAAGAACTGGTTCGGAACTGGTGCTGGTTCAAAGTTGGTTCGGAGTTGGTTCAACTTGTGAACCTTTTCAAAACCTGTTTTTCCACTGACTAGAGCACACAGGGAACAAAGTTGTTACGTCACTGTGTACGTCGCCATATGTCTTAGCTAGAAACGCTTGCAAGTACAACATTACTTTGGGATTATCTCTAACTCGTGTACCAAGAAGGCTTTAAAAACAATTGAAATATGTAAGTATTTTCCTTTGATATGTAAACTTTTCTGATTAGTTATGTACCCCTGTCTTGTGTTTTTTTTTCTTTCCATTTATTTGTTCTATATTGTGACTGTTTTCTTCTTTGCTTACAATGTTTTCAATGAAAAAAAAAAAAAGAAAAGAAACGCATGCGTCAACTTCAAGCATAACAATTACACAGGCGGACTCCATCGTGATTTTGCAAATGTTTCTCCTGGCTTTGCGATCCTATATTATGGTCAGAAAAGATGTTTAGAACACATCTAAACCCGCCCCAGCCCCGACGTAAGCATGACGTGGTAAAAGAACGGTTCTAGTCCAGCAAAGAGTTGTTGCTGATTTGGAACCAGTTTTCCTGGCCTAGTACTGGTTCTTTGGCTGTCGAAACACAAAGAACTGGTTTGCGCGCAGGCACCGGTTCTCAAAATGCTTTGGTGGAAAACGGGTAATATAATTAAAGGTTCATTAACTATTGGGTTGTCTTTATAGCTGCCAACATTGATGAGGCCTTGCTCCACACCCTCAGTCGTGATGATTTGAGAGACCTTTTTCCTGGGCCAGAACACTTTCTCAGGAGGAAACGAGTGTGGGCTCTTATTAGCCCAGAGGTAACTGTTACATACTTTGTCAAATAATAACTAGCACATTAGTAAGTTGTTTTAAAGGAGAACTCCGGCGCAAAATGAACCTTTGGTCTAATTAAAGGTGCCCTATAATGTTTTTTTTTATTATTTTATAATGTTTCCTGGGTTGCCCTTATAATGTTAATATGTTTTTTAGATCAAAAATAGTCATAATTTAGAAATAAAAGGCATTTTTCCTAGCCTGATTTTAGCCTCTGATCTGAACACTAGGTTTGAAGGGGCGTGTCTGCTGTGTGTAACCGGCCTCTGCTGTGATTAGCTGACACGCTTGCATATGAAATAGCTATGTATCACATGTGAAACTCTCTCGAATAATTTTACTACAGCTATTATACGTTTTTACTATTACAGCAATCAAGATTAACGAATCGTGAGATGTTTTTGAAGTATTTAGATCTATTCCCATCACATAAAATGTTGCTGTGCTGAGCAAGCAGAGGACAGTCTGTCGATCGCGAGGATGAAGATATTATCATTGCAATGCAGTTTCTGCTCTCTCTAGTCTAATGCTTTTTCACCAATGCCAACACGATCATGTAATGCAGTAAGAGCTTCGTTGTGCATTGTAACGTGTGTCATTGAATTCATAACGAGTTTGGCAAGTGTCCAGATAAACTCGCGCTGTGTGGAAAGATATTGATCGCTTTCTGTATACAATTTATTCACAATTATTATTATTTTTTCATCCTACTAAAAGAAACGATGTGAACTCCCTGGCTTGACTTACTGATGCATGAACAGTATTGAACGATTTTGAGTGAAAGATTAACGTTACCTGTCTGAACTTGAACAACAATAACACATCAGCTCGGTCCGAGGCCAGCTCTTGGAAAGTTGAGGAAACAGTCGTCAGTGTTTGGAAATTTCCAGAGAAAATAAAATTAACCCATTGTTTCTTCAGAGGCTCGGATGAAGGAACTAAAAATACTTTTGTATTCACGTGTACATCCAAACACCATGCTTCACCATGCTGCGCAGCTCCGTCTCGTCTGTCAACATGGGCTGGCATATGCAAATATTTTGGGTCATACATATTAATGATCCCGACAATTGCGTCAGAGTCGGTATTATATGGAGATTTGCCTGTTTTTCAGGGGTGTTTTTCAAAAACGAGATTTAAGTAAGAAGGAGAAAACAATGGTGTTTGAGACTCACTGTATGTCATGTCCATGTACTGAACTCTTGTTATTTAACTATGCCAACATAAATTCAATTTCACATTATAGGGCACCTTTAAACATTGGTACATATTCAACAGTTCTCTGAGATTTGTTTTCATGATTATCTAATGCAGGGGTTCTCAACTCCAGTCCTCGCGACCCACTGCTCTGCATATTGTGTATGTCTCCCTTATTTAACACACCTGATTCAGATCCTCAGCTTGTTAGGATAGCCGTAGAGTCTATCTTAACGAGCTGAGGATCTGAATCAGGTGTGTTAAGTAAGGGAGACATACACAATATGCAGAGCAGTGGGTCGCGAGGACTGGAGTTGAGAACCCCTGATCTAATGTAAAGAGTTTTATCTCTAAAAACTGTTTAGCTCATAATGCTAGTATATGGGGCATTGAGTAATGAAAATAAAAATCGCTAGTTTATACCACTAACAAGGCTCAAAATAGCCCAACACTAACTCGGTAGCATAATGAGGGTCCCTGCATGCAAAACAAAGCATTGACAAGTGTTGTAAGTGTACAGACCGTTTAATAAGAAGATATGTTATAAAGACAGTTCACTTCGCGAAAACAGGGATGAGCCATCTTTGGAAAACAGACTCGATAAGTCGAACCACGAACGACGAGCCAAGTGCGCTGGTGAGATGTGAATGAGCCAGAACTTTGCTCGTCGTTCGTGTTTTGACTGCTCTAGACTGTTTTCCAAAGATGGCTCCTGTCTGTATTTGTGAAGTGGACTGTCTTATAAAATATTTTTTTTATTAAACGGTCTGTACACTTACAAAGTTCTCAATGCTTCATTTTGCATGTAGGGACCCTAATTATGCTACTGTGTTAGTGTTGGGATATTTTGAGCCTTGTTAGTGCTATTAACTAGCGATTTTTACTTTCATTACTCTATGCCCCACATACTAGCATTATACGCTAAACAGTTTTTAGAGGTAAAACTCTTTACATTCGATAATCATGAAAACAAATCTCAGAGAACGGTTGACTATGTACCAATGTGTAATTAGAGCAAAGGTTCATTTTGCGCGGGAGTTCTCCTTTAAGTCTTGTGAATATTTTTTTTTCCATCTGCTTTTTTAGGATGAGAATCCCACCTTACCAGACCAAGCTGGCCATAGTGAAACAAGAACTGTATCTGCACTTAGAGGAACGCCTCCAATCACCCCTCAGGAATCCACTCCATTGTGGAAGAACAGCCCAAAGAAGACCCTACAGCTTCCCAGTCCTCCAGAATATGTGGTTTATACAGACAGTGAGTTGGAGCAAGCTCGTAAGCATTTCTTTGAAATGGCACGCACTGGCAGAGAGCAGGAATGTGTCATGTCCAAAGAGCTGAGATGCAGGCTGGTGAGGAACACCGTCACCAGCATGATTTCCATTTTGAGAGCAAGCCAGCAAGGAGAGGAGGTCCGCTACCCTCCCAAGCATGAAGTCACAGCAATGGCCAGAAGAATAGTGGAGTATTATCCCATGCTACAAGACAAAGACAAAACTATGAAACATGTAAGTGATGAAAATTTGTGCTAGCTTATTTACTGGACTTAAGGTTTAGCATCTATGTTTATTTTTGTCTGACATTCTTTATCTGTGACAAAGCTCGAAGTTTTCCTTTTTAATTGTTCGCTCAATGTGACATTTTATTTTCCACAGCTGAGTATTTACAATAATCTTCACAAGAGGCTGCAAAACGTAAAGTCTCCACAAAAGAGACAGGGACCAACACCAGAGAGGGGCCAACCAAAGAAAAGGTGTCGCATTGACTTCTCATCAAGTGACAATGGAGATGATGATGCGGACTCAAGTGGTGGATCCACTGTTATTTTGCATGAAACACCGGGGAGTAGTTCTGATGATGGCCACCACAGTGCGTGTAAGTTGATTACAACAAGGCTGGGCAATATTATGATACTTTTTAATAGGGCTGGGTATTGAGACGAATTTCACAATTCGATTCGATTTCGATTCACAAGCTTGCAATTCGATTCGATTCAATATCGATTATTTTGGATATCAGTTACAATAAATGGCCATTTTTCTCAAGGGAATCAAATCTCTTAATTGCTGGAAACTATGGGAGTCTAGTTGTAGCCTATAGACTTCATTAGCCTAATATGAAGGTAATAATGAACTGTTTTGTAGCTGTACAAACACTTAAATTACACTTTTATTTATTTTTATAATAAGATTATATGAAATATAAACATTTAAATGGTGGCTGTCATAAAAACTTGCCAGATTTATTCAAATATGCTTTAAATATTGAAGAATATTAAGATTATAATGCATATATATGTAATATCAATATGGTATATATTTAGCAAAATGCTCCTCTCTGGAGTTATTTTTTTCTAGCTAACGAGTTTATGTGGGTTTTCTGAGGTAAATATGACGATGACATTGATTACAAGCTGTTTAACTGACGTCTTTCCACGGTTGAAACGCTGATTGAGCGAATCAATATGACATTATACGGATTTTGATAAGTTGTCCTTTAACTTTTAACACACTTTCAGATGCTCATTCATGTTTATTTCGCGCTGTAACTGGTATTATTATCCCGGAAGAGAGATCAGCGCTGCTGCTTCTCTTGAGCTCCGCCAGAGCGATCTCACGCCATAGCGCCAAAACCTTATTTATGTTTTTGAATTTCTAAAGAAAATGGACGTAATTTGAAAATTGAGACTTTGTTTCATATCAATAGTAACAAAGGACAAAGATTATTGCGATTTTTTTTTTGGATGCGTGCAGCCGGGATGCAATGTCCCATTCATTCAAATGAAACAGGATGACTAATCGATTCTTGAGATTTAAGAATCGATATCGGTTCGTAAAAATGAGAATCGATTAATATCGAGAAATCGATATTTATTACCCAGCCCTACTTTTTAATATTTTATATTACAGATATTTATATTTTACTTTTCTGATTGGGTTTTGATATAATGTGATTAAACAGATGACTGCTAATTTTTCTTATTACTTTGTGTGTTGAGGGTTATCATTTATATAACGTGTGTTATATTTATATTTTGCACTTTTAACTGTCAAATTGTTTTTAATGTCATTATGCAGCCAAAAGAGTCTTTATTATGAGACATTTTTATCTAAAACCCATATAATTATTTAGAATTGTGTGTCCAATACCCTTTTCACCCATTCTCCTTTTTAGCAGACAGGGATAGCCTGACAGCACAGGCCAGGCATTATAAAACTCTGCAGGAGATGTATAAAAAACCAAAACCCAACCAAGATGCTGTCTCCCAAATCCTTGACCTTGAGTTTCAAGCAAGACGAGCCTTCATTGACAGTGATGCCCTAAAAGAAGAAGATAGGCCCACAAAGATTCTGGATGCTTATCCATGTTTCAAGGATCTTCGTAATGTAAGCAATTCAGTTATTTTGTCTCATTTATAAAGCAAGCATTGTTGCAGATTTTGACAAATATATCCATAGGTGATGGGTGAGCTGTGTCGGATCTTGGATAAGGGCAACAGCAAATTCATAGATGGGTTAAAGAAAAGATGGCAAGACTTCTGCGCCAAGGTGCAGTTTTATGCTGTTTGGAAGAAAGTGATGAAGCCACCCATGACCCTGGATGGAGGTGAGTCATTTTACTGTCTCTCAAGGGATGAAAACAGCACACTTTTCGGCACCTCCCGCTTTTTTCACGTCAGTTTGGGTGACTTGTGTGAATCGTGCAGATCCGAAGAGATTTTTTTAAGGGTGGGTCTGATTATAATTTCACCAACAGTAATTCTGGATTGCCTCCACCAAACAAGCAAAAACAGAAGTATGCGGGCAAGCGTGAACCACTAGTGTTTCTTCCACTGGCTCATGGCCTGATTCGAGATTTCGAGATTCGATTTTTTTTTTTGCCCTCGTAACATGTGCGTGAGTTTTCAGACTAAATAAACGCCGTAGGGCCGTTCACATATTGTGTCTTGTGCTCTCAAGTTCGCTATTTCAAATGTAGGCTTGTGGGTCGCGGTAAGCACTCTCATAATTAAAAAGATTTTTCCAGGCGCAGCGAGATAAACTCTTCAACTTTTCAGAATGCAGCAAGCGCATCACATTTCATGTGACAAGAACCAACCACCATTGAAAGCTCAGTAAACATGAAGGATGGGGGTGAACCCAAACACTACCGGTGTTTTTCTCTTCTCCGTAAATAAATCTTGTAGTCGAGCAGAACTATAGAAAGCGTTCTTCGGTGGTGAAAATCTATCAGCTACTAAAACTTCTTTGTCGTTGTGGAGAGCACAGTGCATGGACTGAATTTTACTATTAATTATAAAAGATAAGCTAATGTGCATTAATGTAAATGTCAAGTAATTTATTTATTTTTTGACTCATTCTTTTTATAAAGACAAAAGTGTTACTAGATACTTCTGTGGGAATTACTAATTATTTGGATTCGTATTATAAAGTGAAGATCATTGGAACTAACTATTAATTACTCAAGTGTTACTAAAGACATTTTCTAAAAGTATACTAAAGTTCACCAAAAATCTCAAACGTTTGCACAAATCATCATGTAGTAACACTTGAGTAATTACTAGTTAGTTCCAATGTTCTTCATTTTATAATACGGATCCAAATAATTAGTAATTCCCACAGAAGTATCTAGTAACACTTTCATCTGTGAGCTATTACTTACTAATTATTTGGATCTGTATTATAAAGTGAAGATCATTGGAACTAACTTGTAATTACTCAAGTGTTACTACATGATCTAGTCATGATTTGTGCAACCGTTTAAGATTTTTTGTGAACTTTAGTATACTTTTAGAAAATGTCTTTACTTGAGTAATTACTAGTTAGTTCCAATGATCTTCACTTTATAATACGAATCCAAATAATTATTAATTCCCACAGAAGTATCTAGTAACACTTTCATCTGTGAGCTATTACTTACTAATTCGTTAATAAGAGTTTCTTTTAGTTAATAGTTACTAGATTGTTAATAAACTTTTTCAGTAGTTCTCTGGGAAGTATTAAAAAAAATAGTAGTTATTGATTAGTTAATAGTGAACTACCACTTTCGTCTGTGCGCTATTACTTACTAGTTCGTTAATCAGAGTTTCTTGTTAGTTAATAATAGTTACTAGATTGTTATATTGTGTTACTCATTAGTTCTTGTGTAGATATTCATTAACGAAGGAACCGTATTCTAAAGTGTTACCCACCTTTTTTGTGAAAAATATTTCAAGCCTGAAATATGTGAGGTTTGTTTTTATAAAACCTTTTTTGTGTGTGTGTGTGTGTGTATGTGAGTGAAAAAATGATTTAAAGGAGAACTCCGGCGAACAATGAACCTTTGGCCTAATAAAACATCGGTACCTAGTCAATCGTTCTCTGAGATTTGTTTTCATGATAATCGAATGTAAAGAGTTTTATCTCTAAAAACTGTTTAGCGTATAATGCTAGTAATGGGGGCGTTGACTAACTAAAAAGAAATTGCTAGTTTATACTAACATGGCTCAAAATAGCCCCACACTAACACAGTAACATAATGAGGCTCCATACATACAAAACGAAGCATTGAGAACTTTGTAAGTGCACAGATCATTTAATAAGAAGATAAGTTATAAAGACAGTTCACTTCATGTATACATACAGAAGCCGTCTCGATAAGTCAAACTACGAACGTCGTGCTGAGTGAGCTGAACTGTATGAAGTTCAACAAACTTCTGAACTGTATGAACGACGTTCGGGGGATCGACTTATCGAGACTATTTTTAAAATGGCTCCTGTCTGTATACGCGAAGTGAACTGTCTTTATAACGTATCTTCTTATTGTACAGTCTGTACACTTACAAAGTTCTCAATGCTTCGTTTTGCATGTATGGAGCCTCATTATGTTACTGTGTTAGTGTGGGGCTATTTTGAACCTTGTTAGTGGTATAAACTAGCGATTTCTTTTTACTTAGTCAATGCCCCCTAGCATTATACGCTAAACAGTTTTTAGAGGTAAAACTCTTTGCATTCGATTATCATGAAAACAAAACCCAGAGAACGATTGACTAGGTACCGATGTTTTATTAGACCAAAGGTTCATTGTTCGCCGGAGTTCTCCTTTAAAGGCTGAAACATATTTACTATGTGCCTAAGGGTAGGCCGGGGATGGCAGGGGTTGGTGGCAATACAAGTATCTGGATATTTTCCGCAGGGCGAGGGCTTCGATTACCTCTCTCTTTTTTGACCATACATGTGTTTGCATCCCTGGTCTCTAGTAGGGCTGAACGATTTTGGAAAATAATCTAATTGCGATTTTTTTTTTAACCAATATTGCGATTTAATATGCGATTTAAAAAAAAAGTTATTTACCTTCTGTATTAGTCGACAAAGACAAGCAATAAATCATTGTACAGTAGGGATTGGAATCTTTAGATAGCTCATGATCCGATCTACTTTTTTTCTTATTAATTAATCTTAATAACTCTTAAAATATGTATTTAATTACATGTTTAAAAACACATACTTTAAAAAATAAATATAAAAAACATTTAATTAAACCAATTACATGTTAAGAATTTTAAATAGGCTATATAAAATAATATAGCTTCAAAATATAAAAGCTAGTAAATAAAGAGAAACAAAAAAAAACATTACAAGCAATAAACAAAGAGTGGTCTCAGTATTTTAAAGTAGGCTGTCTGAATGTTTTTCATTCAAGAGCTGGAGTGATTTCCCCTCAGTTTAGATACGATAAGCTGCATTAATGCATATATCTCTTTTGAAATTGTAAATGTGGTTTGTCCTGTTGGTTTAAGATATAACTGACCGTGTTTACATCAATTTCGCATCAAGTACATTTACCAATGAGTCGCTCACGGCCGCATGCACGAGCGCTCTTCACAAAGCACGCGTTAGTATTTTAAAATGAAAGCAGCCTTCTCAGTGATTTTTATGGTTTTAATATAAGCCAACTGCATTCCAAAATACATAAATAATGCCTCTGTGAAGCATTTGTAAAGAAAATTCCCGCGGGAGAGAATGCGCACTGCAAGTGTAACGTTATAACATCAAGCAAAGCGGCAAAACCTGTTTAATGAAGCCCGCGAATGTCCTTGTAATTTGGTTCAACCCCGACCTTTATAAAATAACGTTAATGTTTTGGAAGGTTCGAGCGGTGTCGTGTGTGCGAGTGAGGAAGAGAGAGAGCGAGAGAGAGAGCGAGAAAATAGAAGCAAGCAGATTCAGAACACGGTTCGTTTCTGAAGCACGCGCAGCGTCATCACGCATCTGTGTTTAAAAAATAAGCTCATACTCGATTCTGAAATTCTCTGAATCGATCCAGGATTGTTGAGGAGAGAATAAATAACACAATAAACTGTTCTTTTCTGGACGCCAGACCGCGTAGCGTGGCAAGTTGACGCTTTATCTTGCAGACTGCTTTTCTCTCGCGTGTCAAGTGACCAGTGTAATCGCAGCTTTTGCGTTACAAAATCGCGTTTCATCATATCGCGATTTTATCGCAAATGCAATTAATCGTTCAGCCCTAGTCTCTAGTACACTGTATTGCTGTGTTCTTGCTCAGACATGGGTGTATGATTTTGTATATTCCCAAAGTAATGCCGATTAAACAAAACTTACTGTGATTATAATTTCCATTAGAGCTTCACGATTGATTGTTTAAAGAATGCGTTCTCGATTCAAAAACCCACGTGATCTTATACCTAAATGACAGTGGTTCGTTGTTTATTAAACCTTTGACAAGTACGATCAAAGCGAACACTTAATACCTAAACATGACAAACATATGAAACGGCTTCACACACATCATTTTCAACCACAAAGTATTTATGTGTTAAAATAATTAAAAGCCAACATGTTGTGCGACAAATACTGACTGTTTAAAAATGTATGTCATTGAATCATTTATTTAAGAGATTCAAACAACGCTGATTCATCCAGTAATGAAATAAGTGAAGTCTTTACGAGTGAATCATTCATTCAGACCAATGTTGTTGTTTTATAATTTTCTTAACTAAGCATGGACCTGATAATTGTCTTGTTTAAGAAAAACAATTGTGAAGTAAAAGTTTATTTGTTCTGTTGTAGTGGAATATGCCATGGCACTATTCAGGGCACTCCCCACACTCTTTCCTTCTCCAACTGCACCACCTAAGAAGATGGGACATGCCAGTGAGGCATTGCTTCATGTCCTTCAGGTGAGAGTTTGTTCACATTTTGTCACATCCAACACTTTTTTCTGGTAGTATGCAATGACTTTTATACATTTTGATGATTTTATGTTCTACCCTAAAGAAATTTGTCAGGTTTTTTATTTTTTTACTTTTTTTTCTCAGCCAGAAGAAGACCCCACCATCTACCTTCAGAAGAGATCTCTCTCCAGCCCTGTTATAATCTTTGATGGTTCCAACTGTCTTCTCGCTATTGGAGAACCACTCCCATCACCACATTTGCAAAGGAAGACCTCAGTGAAGGTCTCCTTTATCTGATGGCTTACTACTACAACCCTTCATCTTACCTATCCCAAATGCGTGGCGACTCTCCTTCTGTCATTCAGAACGAAATATTGCAGGACACACTCCATGAGCTAGACGCCACAGCATCATACAAAAAAAGCCATGGCAGAGTGGAAGGATTTTATTGGGAATTAGAAGTGTTAAAGGGTTAGTTCACCCAAAATGAAAATTAAGTCATTAATTACCACCCCCCATGCTGTACCAAACCCGTAAGACCTTCGTTCGTCTTCGGAACACAAATGAAGATATTTTTGATTAAATTTGAGAGCTGTATAACTACCACATTGGCTCCTAAGGGACTGCCTCTTGACGGCCCAGAAAGTCAATGAAGAAAATGTTTAAATATCCCAAGTGACTACCGTGGCTCAACTATATGTTTATCAAGCGACGCGAATACTTTTTGTGGCGAAAAAAAACAAACAAATAACGAGTTTATTCGAAAAGGCCAGAACGAGACTTCCTTAGATTTCCACGACGCATGCGCGAGATTTGCGATCTGCTCACACCAGCTTACACTACTTCAGATCGCAATTCTCGCGCATGCGTCGTGGAAATCTAAGGAAGTCTCGTTTCTGGCCTACAAGGAAGAAAAGAAATAGTCGAATAAACTCGTTATTTTTGTTTGTTTTTTCGCACAAAAAGTATTCGCGTCACTTGATAAACATATAGTTGAGCCACGGTAGTCACTTGGGATATTTAAACATTTTCTTCATTGACTTTCTGGACCGTCAAGAGGCAGTCCTTTAGGAGCCAATGTGGTAGTTATACAGCTCTCAAATTTAATCAAAAATATCTTCATTTGTGTTCCGAAGACGAACGAAGGTCTTACGGGGTTGGTACAGCATGGGGGTGAGTAATTAATGACTTAATTTTCATTTTTGGGTGAACTAACCCTTTAAGAATAACATTTTAGCACTGCCAGTGATTTTGAGTAAAAAAAAAAAAAGTGATCTGAGGTGAAAGTGAGCCATAGTTCTGTGTTAATGGAATGTATGTAACAAATGGAGATGCATGTTTAATTATTTATTTATTTATTTGTTCTTTATCTGCTGTAACACAGAGTACTTATTGGTGGGGGTTTTTCTTGACCATCTTTGCAACAAGAATTCCTATTTCAGTTCCAGTGACAGTTCCTTATGCTAAAACATGAATGTTATGCACTACTGTACCATCATCTTTTTTTCCTGAGTGTCAGGGAATCTCTTTCAAGTGACAGTTCAACTTTGTAAACAAACTAATTTGAAATATTAAATAAATAATTGTTGGCTGTACTAATTCGGCATGGTCTTGATTTCAGTTATTATTTTCTTAAGTAATCTTGTTTTAAGTTTAAATTCTTTGTCTCATTTTAAGACAGGAAAACTAATTTTGACAATACTTAAATTAAGAAGAACTCCCTTGATTAGTGGCCCTGGTTTTAAGATCTTTTCTCACAAATTAAGAAAGAAGAAAACACTTAAAAAAGAATTTGCAAGCTAGTTTTAAGTTATTTTGACTAAATGCACTGCTTGGAATACGTATATTATTACTTCTTTCAAAAGATTTTGCACTTTTCCGAAGCCTGATATTTTTTTTCTTATTTCAAGAAATCTTTCAAGTGTAATTATCTTACTGCACTGGCAGATAATTTGACTTGTTTTTAGTCTGTATCTTCTTAAATCAAGCATTTATTTCTTGAATTTAGAGAGTTAATTTTTGCAGTGTAAGTCTCATGGCCCTCTATCAGAATCCAGAGTTTTGAGAAGATTGGAGAAACTTAATTTTTCGCCCGAAAAAAAAAAAAACGTAAGGGGTACCACTGTCGGGTTTTTTTTGGGCCGAATTTTTGAGTTTCGATATCTCAGCTCTGGAAGGGGCTAGAGCCTCCATTTTTGCACTCAGGTCTAAGTCTCATGGCCCTCTATCAGAATCCAGAGTTTTGAGAAGATTGGAGAAACTTATTTTTCGCCCAAAAAAAAAAAACGTAAGGGGTACCACTGTCGTTTTTTTTTCGGGCCGAATTTTTGAGTTTCTATATCTTAGCTCTGGAAGGGTCTAGAGCCTCCATTTTTGCACTCAGGTGTAAGTCTCATGGCCCTCTATCAGAATCCAGAGTTTTGAGAAGATTGGAGAAACTTAATTTTTCGCCCAAAAAAAAAAAAACTTAAGGGGTACCACTGTCTTTTTTTTTGGGCCGAATTTTTGAGTTTCGATATCTCAGCTCTGGAAGGGGCTAGAGCCTCCATTTTTGCACTCAGTTCTAAGTCTCATGGCCCTCTATCAGAATCCAGAGTTTTGAGAAGATTGGAGAAACTTAATTTTTCGCCCAAAAAAAAACGTAAGGGGTACCACTGTCGTTTTTTTTTTCGGGCCGAATTTTTGAGTTTCGATATCTCAGCTCTGGAAGGGTCTAGAGCCTCCATTTTTGCACACAGGTGTAAGTCTCATGGCCCTCTATCAGAATCCAGAGTTTTGAGAAGATTGAAAAACTTAATTTTTCGCCCCAAAAAAAAAACGTAAGGGGTACCACTGTATCGTTTTTTTTTTCGGGCCGAATTTTTGAGTTTCGATATCTCAGCTCTGGAAGGGGCTAGAGCCTCCATTTTTGCACTCACGTCTAAGTCTCATGGCCCTCTATCAGAATCCAGAGTTTTGAGAAGATTGGAGAAACTTACTTTTTGCCCAAAAAAACAAAAACGAAAGGGGTACCACTGTCGTTTTTTTTTTCGGGCCGAATTTTTGAGTTTCGATATCTCAGCTCTGGAAGGGGCTAGAGCCTCCATTTTTGCACTCAGGTCTAAGTCTCATGGCCCTCTATCAGAATCCAGAGTTTTGAGAAGATTGGAGAAACTTAATTTTTCACCCCAAAAAAAAAACGAAAGGGGTACCACTGTCGTTTTTTTTCGGGCCGAATTTTTGAGTTTCGATATCTCAGCTCTGGAAGGGGCTAGAGCCTCCATTTTTGCACTCAGTTGTAAGTCTCATGGCCCTCTATCAGAATCCAGAGTTTTGAGAAGATTGGAGAAACTTAATTTTTCACCCAAAAAAAAAAAACGTAAAGGTACCACTGTCGTTTTTTTTTTCGGGTCGAATTTTTGAGTTTCGATATCTCAGCTCTGGAAAGGGTCTAGAGCCTCCATTTTTGCACTCAGGTCTAAGTCTCATGGCCTCTTATCAGAATCCAGAGTTTGAGAAGATTGGAGAAACTTAATTTTTCGCCCAAAAAAAAAAAAACGTAAGGGGTACCACTGTCGTTTTTTTTTCGGTCCGAATTTTTGAGTTTCGATATCTCAGCTCTGGAAGGTCTAGAGCCTCCATTTTTTGCACA